CCCTACTTGTATGAGTAAGGTTTCAGAGGCAATTTAGCCATGCCTCTTGCTGTTCTGTTCTACTTACATTTTCGCCATGGGTGGAGAAGCAGTAAAGTGTATGGCCCAGATTTCCTTGGCTTCATAGCTATGTGCATGCTCACGCATAGCCCGCTTTGGCAATTAGCTGAGGCTTCCAAGAGGCATCAACCACATGATCGTTCTGCATATGTTCGGTCCATCTATTGCAGTCATCAGGCTGACTGTGGCTGCCGGAGGTTGGTACTCAATATGGTAAGATTTTCTACAACTCCTTATCAATTCGCAAGGCTGCCCACACTCGGGCTGACACAGGCATCCATTACAAATTGACCCTTCGTCGGACCGTGTGTGTAGCTTGTCTCGGCTGTATATGCCGTCTATATTTGCATCTGATCATACGGATATGATCAAGACTGTCCGTTTAATTGTCCTGGTTGTCTCTACTGTTGCCCTCGGCCCCAGGAGAACTCATTCCCACTCATAGTCACCTCCATTGAAAACTTGCACTCAAGTTGCCGGTCCCACCGCTCTTCCGCAGTACACGTCGCTCGCACTCAAAAAGATGGACGAAGAGCTCGTGGAGTTTAAGTGCGTCATCTTCGACATTCGAAGTACGTAAGGCTTTTCCTGTTGCAAAGGCAAATGCGCATACTTACTGGCAGGGATAATTAGAGGATTCGAACAAGGACGACTTCAATGCCTCCAGAAGTCCCAACGAAACAGTTCAGGGCTTCACAACCTGGGTTACGAATAATTACGATCTTCCTGGCGAAGTGAAGCTCTTCAAGGGAAAACGCGAGCTTCAACAGCCCGGCCTCAGTCTCAGCGACTTGTACATCGAGAAAAAAGACACACTCACAGTCAAATTTGACAGCAAGGTCCTCGCCGGTGGCGGCGGCCTCGGCCAGGGTGGTCTTGGCTCCAAAGAACACAAATCGCTGGCTAAGGGCGGGATTGGCGGCGGTGGGGAGGCAACATTTGAGTTTGTAAGGGGAGGCGACGGTCTTGGCGGAGGCGTGGAGGGCTTTGGTAGGGGTGGCGCGGGGAAAGGCGGACCAGCCAACAATCCGCACAAGGGGATGTGGGCGAAGGGAGGAGATGGTATTGGTGGCCCAGTGACGGTCCACAACACGAAGCAGGGACGCCATACCGTAAGTTTGAATCCCCAAAACAGTTACCTTCTCAAGCGAAGATTAACTAGTGACCATCTCATAGGAGAATGCGTAGAGAGCGGGCTAAGTCTCCTACTTGTTTGAATGCTTGGGGAATGCCGGTTTTGGCTTTAACGCGACCCAAGACTGAGATAGAAATTAGAGCAGGCTATCAAGGATGGCTTGAATGACAAGTATGGTGTGCATACGTGAGGCAACATGATAGGATGTGTGCCTAGTTCGGTCGTTACCGGGAGAATAGACGGGTACACAAGCTTGGCTGCAAGTCCCTTTGTGGCCACTCTTGACAGAGGAAAACGAACTCCGGGTGAGAAATTTATCACCAGATAAGGAAGATTGGGTAAGTAGCCAAATATTTCAATTCATTTGTCCTTGGCTTGTAGTTCACCACCCTTCATTCACTATATGAAAGTTGCATGAGTCTATTCCCTGCGGAGAAGCGACTTCCAATGTCTGAGCAGCCTGACAATTATCTAATTATCCAAGATCCATGTGAATCACCGATGCTCTATGCAGACCAACCATCATGTCGACTTGCGAACTTTATTAGGACTTCCAAGGAACAGTGCTGAGATAAATGCGGGCATTCTAGACTCTTCAGCTATCGTAAATTAAATAAACGAAGCCCGATTATGAGACTGTCGGGTCGAGGAGATGACACACTTAGACAGAGGGTGACTATCAAAAGCAGAGCCTACGTTATCGATTGCGTTTTGTGGGCCCTATCATGAACTGCCATTGCACACATGATACCAATCGCAAACTGAGGCCAAAGCACACTGGAGGTATCGCTTGAAGGAAGTCATCGCTGTGTCTGAAAAGCCGGTCATCTTAGGGAAGCAGCCAATTCTGGCGAGAATTGGCTGTGAGATGAAGCCAAGATGGATTTGTTTCTGTTCAATTCCACCAAACGCAACATTTTAAATGTGGGCCAAGCTCATGACAACCCAGCAAGCCTGAGACACTTAAGTGGCGCTGGTCTGGCAGAGCTGGAAGCGGATGATAGATTTCAGGCCGGGCTCGTTCAATGAAAACCAGTACTACATTGTGCCTTGGCACCAGCGCAATTCCCGCCGGAGATAGTCGAGGAAGGTGGGCGAATTGGTTTCGTAGCTTTCGGTCTCGATGGGGAGGAGCCTGGCTTCATAGCCAGCCCGACGCATGAACATGGCCTCCATGAGGTCGTGACTTAGAATGTAGCCGCCCAGTGGTGGCCCTCCCGGCAATTTTGGCAACATACAGTTCTCATGAAATGCCTTTTTGCGGATGATGGCATTGTGGCCCCAGTACAGCGTGCAGTCGGCGGCCCACCAGCTGAAACCCGTATTGTATGCACGCAGGCTATGACGGAGTCCAAACTGGTATATGCGAGTAAAAGCACTAACAGCCGGCATGCCCACGACTAAGGTTTGCAACAGCCCAATCTGGGGGTGCTTTCCCATGCTGAACACCAAACGGGTGAGGGGTTCTCCGCTCATGGCGCTGTCGGAATCAAGTGGGACAAAGAAATTGTCACCCTCCGAGTGCTTATCGAGATAGTCCTTGATGTTTCCTGCCTTGAAGCCAATGTTCTTTTCTCGGCGGCGGTACATTGGGTCGCTAAACATACCCAGCCCGAGACTTTGTCGAATGCGAGAGAAACCCTCTTCTTCTTTTTGCGCAACATCTGGAACGGTGGTGTCGCTAAGAAAAACAAAACGGAAATTTTGAAGACGGTTGACCCGGCGTAGGCTTTCGTGCATAGCCTCAAGGTGGTTGAAAACTGGCTCCGGGTCCTCATTTCGCATGAAGATGGTCAGAGCTGTCCTGGAAGCAAGTTCTGGGACGGGGCCGTCGGCTTCGAAGTAGGGGTAGATGGACTTGCTGGCTTTGCCAAAGGCAACGATGCAGAGTCCGATCAACGTATTCTAGAACGTGACGACTGGCCATGGAACACAAATCGTAGCACAGATTAGAATGAGAATGTCGAGAAGGCCGGCCCTTGGTTGAGTGCAACTGGGGAAATACGCCCAAAGTAGCGGAGCTGTCGTAACAACGTTGAGAATGAGTACCAGCAAACGACGCTGCGGAATCGATATGCCGGTGTAATGAATTGGCGTTGCGAACTGAGTCATTTCCTGTACTGTCGTTTTGAAGCTCGTATGCTTTTCGGGATATCAAGGCAAGCGCGAGAACAGCATGCTGACTTCACACATGGAATGTGAAGACTTCTTATGCAAATAATCACGACAGGGGCCACACGGGCGATACCAGTTGTAACACCATCTTGTAGACAGTCTACATGTAGGCTTGTAGGCATTGGACTCGTTGTCTATCTGTGGAGCCTCATTCCGGCTCCCACATCAAACCTCGCGATTCAGGAGCCTTAGAGGCTCAGACCAGAAAGGGCTGTCGCTTACACGAGTTCCTAAACAGTTTACAAGAGGAAAACTTGGGCGGCTTGACTGGCCAAAGCTCAATGTGATCCATTATCTCCAGCTGGCAGGGAAGTGTCTCTACTTACCCTGGCTCCAGGTTGATCTTACTCTATGTGCGGCTGCTTTTCGCCGCTTAATCAGCATCTACATTGAGAATGAGGTCTCTCTGAGCGGCCCATCTCCGAGGGTGGACTCTGTGCTGCCCATCGGACTTCTCGATTGGGAACTCCGCCCGCTTGCGATGTGAGCCCCGCCAGTGTGAACAACTTGCGCTGTTCAAAATCTATCATCGCCTCCCGTCTGATCTGTATGATGTGTCATATTTCTGCCGTTTGAACGTCCAGGGAGGCATTGTTGTTCGTTTGCTCTGCTGCGTTGGGGAAACACCTCTGAACGCTTTTATCTCGGTGGTATTTGCAATGTGTCATCATCTTTCGCTCGGATAGTTTGCACGCATAGATTATACGGATAACGGCAGAAAATATTTCAAGAGAGATGGGTCAATTTTGGGTTGGAAATCGCACCAAGATATATTCAACTAACTTGTCCTGGAGATGTGACAGCACCTCGGGTAGCAATTTCAGCACGATATTGAACAGGAACATTTCACTTGCCCAGTACTACACAATGCAGAAACTGGGAGGCTGGCGATCGTCTGAATGAACAGGGACTTAGGAAGAACAACAGATGAACATGGATGGCACTGACACGATGATTATAATAGAGTTCGTTAGGCTGGTTTGACGTGAAAGCTGAAGAAGCCGAGGACTCCTGAAATCAGGCCGCAAGGTCATGCGTCAACTTCAGAAATGAATGGTACTTGAACATTCGCAAGGCTGTCAATATTTCCCATCACCTCAATAAAGCCAATAGTGCGCCCGAAGCTGCTTGTAGATTGCTTCCATCGTTCTGTCGCCAGCGCTCACACTCATTTGCCAGGATCATGTGCCCGGCACCAAGTTCCGGTCGGGGAGATGACATATTCTCCGCTTGGTCTGTACGCACGCGTCTCGCGAGCCGGAGGGTTTCTGCTACAGATTACTCTAGATCCCAGCGCATGGACCCACAGCTCCGAGGGAATGGTTCGGCCAAGCCGTGATACGGTCTGGATCGAGTCGTGAAAATCAATGGGGAAGCTGAGTATCTTGAGTCATGTTACCAAAAGTTCACTATTTTAAAGCCTGTGTATATACACCGCAGCTCGGCATCCCCTTCCTAAAGTTTTCAGTAGAATTACTGCCACTCTTCACCTTCATCTAATCGATCGGTTGAGCAGCAAGTGTCACGGTTTGGCCTGCTCGTTTCCTCCATATCAGCCTTTCATATTCATTGAGATCAAGGGACTTCGAACGACCTGAGAAATCAATCTTCAATTCTCGGGTTTTTCAACATGAGACTTGCACAAGTCACGGCCTCCGCGGCGCTTTTCGCCGGCTTCGCCTTGGCCCGACAGGACGCATGCTCGATCGAACTTCTCAACGTCAACCAAGCCGTCGTCGACACCAAGTGCATTCCCTTCGACACTACCATCGCAATGAAGGACCCAACAGGACCTGGCGGTGGTCAGCTCTACAAGGTCCACGTCAACAATCTTTGCGGAATCGGGCTGGATGATGGCCAAGAGCTGTCGAACGGAGCTTCATTGAGAAAGGTCGGCCCATGCTCTCCTGATTCAGGTTGATGTGGTTGGTCAGAGCATCTAAAATCACTTTTGTATATCCATAAAGCCTTGCATTCATTGTTCAAATAAGGTTTTGAACCTAGATGTTGGCTCAAGTGCTACGAGCCCGAGATGTTTATTTTATGGTTAAGCTTACATTGCGCCACTCGAAGGCAACTTCACACCCACTGGTCCATCATCGCAACGATTCACTCCTTTGTACGTGCCGTCGTCTTCCTTGACAGTGAGGCCAAAAGCCCAGCAAAATGAGCGCATCTGATTGGTTGGTGGTTTCCAGTTGGTCAAACTGGCAGCCGACGTTTTTGCGCCAACCCACTTTCAACTGTCACACCTTGCCGACCACATCTCGGCCCACAGCTCTCATCACCGATTGAAGCGAGCCGGCAGACGTCCACAAATTAACAACCTCCGGGGTTGCTGATTCATATCAGCCTTGCAAGCTTCATCCGCCTCGCCGACGATTTTTCCAACTCCAAACCTCGCCTTGATGGCATCCAAGGGCCAGCCAGGCGGCGCCAAGCCCGTCTACGGCAGAACGTTGGCGGGCAAGATCCTATGGCTGCCCAAGAAGGAGGAGATTAGCCCTTCACTTGACACCGATCTGTCACCCGGGGTCTATAATCACCCTGTGTTGATCATGTCCCATGCACCTCGCGACGATGGCACTGTGAGAGCTCTAACGGTATGCGACTCCCACCTGATGGCTTCAAATATGGCTAACATGACTACAGATGACATCGGCCAACGGCAGAAACATCACGGAGGACATGGCCTTCCACTGGAAGTTCCGTGAGAAGTATCTACCCGTCGCCCCGACGCCTCCCCACACAGACTCGGGACTACAGCTCCATTTGGCGGGAGCTAGCTCAAGCAACAAGGCCTACAGACCGGCATACGCGATGACACAAGGAGGGCCTTACACAATCCACCGCGACGTGCTAAGAGCGCATCAAGGCACCAGTCTTAGTTCGAAGTCGTTCGGTATCCTCGTCACAGAGATGGGCTACACCGAGGAAGAAGATTACTTGAGGGAGCAGCGGGTTATTGAGAGAAAGAAGCGGAAGATCGAGAAGGATGCGGAGAAGGAGAAGCGCAGGGCCTTATGGGACCAGGGACAGGCAGAGAGTAAGCAGAAAGCCGAGTGGAAGAGGCAACGACAGGCAGAGTATAAGCAGAAAGTCGAGGAGAAGAGGCAGCAACGACAGGTGGCCAAGAAGGAGAAGGCCGACGAGCGGATGGCCATCAAGATTCAAAGGATGGCAGTCAAGGAGAGGGATATGGCTAAGGTGAACACCAAGCTGGACAAGGGCTTCTTCTGTCTGATGACCGGCATTTTCGTGGCTATTCTTTGCTTGGAGGCCCTGTTTTGGTATGGCTTTTGGTTGGCTTTCGGGTTTTGGTAGGCAAGGAGGACAAGGAAAGCAAGGAATGTAGAGATAAAAGGCATCAAAGGAGTTTCAACGGCATCAAAGCATGTATGCATGGAGTTATTCATTCAGAGATGACTGTATAATCCGACAAGGCTGGCAGATCACAACAGCAAGGCTGAGGATGAGTTCGATCAGGCCCTCATTTGAATTGTCGAGCCACCTATTAGACAGCGTACAGAGTTTTCTCGACTCCCAAGCACCATGCTACCAAGTGAATTTTCTTTGCATATCGCCTGGCAGGGGCAGTATGACATACCTTCCCTTTATCCTCTTTGCCATAGCAACACCTCGAAGTATCCGGATTCCAACTCGACCGCCCCTTTCTCGAAACCCTCAATGCCTCCCAAAGCTCAACAGAAGCGACGGTCCCTGGAGGAGACGACAGAGCCCCTGGCTGGAAAGATCGTATTTGTTCCACCAAAGAACCGAACAACCGCTCGCCTGAAGCCCGACCTGGAGAGGACAGGCTACAACCATCCAGGGGTGATCATATCCTCGCGGCCCGACGGTGTTGGTCGCGTGACAATAGCCATGGTTGATGACGACCCTTGCCCCTCTGACCGTCCACTGGATAATGTCTTGCTGACCATCTCTACAGTTGACGTCTTTTAAGGACACACCCGTCGCCTATGTCCTAGACCGCGAGGAGGACTACGCCCATTACCTGCCCATCGATGACGCCCTCCACCCCATATCGTCCATACGGCGTCTGAGGAGGCGTCCCGAAAGCCCCTCGTTGCGGAAGAAGTCGTACGTGTACATCGGAGAAAAGCATACCATCCTCTACAAGGCACTCGAGCCATACGGCCGGTCATCTCGATACTCAGCGGGCCCGTGGCTCTGCGAAAAGTCAGTCCGAATACTACAGTCACACTTTGGCGAACCATTCGACGATGACGACGAAGACGACGACATCAGCTGCACCGACACTAGCGATGGTGAATGCGATCTCGGTGAAGCAGATCCTGGTGGTGAGGGGCAGCTTGCCGGATGGCACATTGATGTTGAACTGGATTCAGTCTCCATCGGGCAAAGCACCCCGTTACCCTTGCAGCTTACTCTTGTTGCTGGGCCCTCGGCAGCTTCGATACTGGGGTCCGAAGGCTCATCTTCCAACCCGCCTACGCCTACAGAGCGATCACTCTCAATCTCACGGCTCTCTTCTTCATCTTTATCGTTCTCTGAGTTTCCGCCGTACTGCGACGAATACGCCACCTTTCACCAGCCCCAGCATGCTGTGTCGCCTTGGCTTCCGACAGCACGGGTTGACTATGCCACCAAACAGAATCAGACTCCGCGAAAGAGATTGGCTACACATTCTGGCCTACTGTTCATCATCATAACCATTATCGCTTTTGGCCCTCAACTTGTCGGAGATGGCTCCGGCGGGTAAAACCTTGCTCGGTCTCAGACTATCGCATGTCCTGGGAATGGAATACTGGAAGGACGGGGAGGATGAACGACGATCAAGCCACCCGCGCGTCAACGTAATCGTGAGGGGCCAAAGATCACAAATCTGCCCAAAGACTGACAGCTCAATAGCGCAACTCCATTGCAAGCAATGTCAGGCCATTGCCAGTAACGAACTGATTGGGTCTAGAGATACTGATATGGGGGGAATTGGGGTTTTATACGAGGCGGAGAGTTTTGTAGGATAAACAGTCTCAAGGGAAAGCATAGGCTATCTGGTCGCTTTCAGTATCGTGAGAATGTCGACCCCAAGGCGTTGCCCGCCATCTCTGTGATTAGCTGAGGGGGAATACTGCCACTACTGGGTGAAGCCTTTGGCCCTTTCAACCAGTGTACAACGCATGTCAAGCGACCAATCTCCGTATACCAATCATGGTGACAGCGAGCGAAGTTGACATTAGGTAACGACGAGACAGCCATGATATCAGAAGAGAGATCTGGAGAGAACGACCCAACCCTCTTACTTCTTCTCCGTAGACGATAGACTCCTGCAAGCTACATGAAAAACGCCCAACTTAACAACCCCCTTCATCCCCCTCAACAGCCCAATATTCACCTTGAAAGCCTCCGTGTCCCTGAACTTCTGATGCGCCTCAACACTAGGCCACCCAATAAAAGCCACCAACAAATTCCCCGTCTTGCCATCCTCGCCCGTGACGGGTACATCATTCTCCTTGCTCCATCCATACGCGATACCCTTGAAATCAGGCGACGTATCAAGTGCTTTCACCTTGAACACTTCAAGCTGCTTACTCAACTCTTCCTTGGCAGCCTCATCCAGCTCCGCGGGGAAGAAAAGCGTCAGCACCTCAGTAACGGGCGCCTCGGCGAGGATCGTAGGCGGCCAGGGCTTGGTGACAATGTGCTTGATGTAGCCGTCCTTCCAGTCGAGGTAGGATGACATGCTTTTGGCGACGACGTCGTGTTCCCTGTGAACGCATCAGTACACCATTTTGTAAACACAGACAAGCGACTGACGGCGTTGTGCGGTACGCAAGATGCTCCTCGACGCTATCCCAGTCCAAAAACAGCCACTGCTGGTACGGCTTCTCGACCGCGTGGCCCCAGTAGATCCGCCCCGCGCCGGGCTGAGCGACGGCGGTCTCGAGCATGTGCTTGATGTCCTTGCCCTCCGGGGTGTCGGGGTCCGGGAAGGGGGCGCCGGATTTGGAGGCGAAGTAGGAAAATTCGGTGAAGCCCATGTTGTCTTTTATTTGGATTTCTTTTAATGAGATTACTTCAAAAATGATATGGGACTTTCCACAGTCCAGATTGTAGGTTCCGTAATTTATATCATCGCCATCGCCGTCGTTGAAGTGGGCTCACTGCAGCCATCCCCGATCGATATTGCGCGAGAGCCTAGGCCAATCGGCGTGTGGGGTCAGATACGATATCATCCTGGCTCATGCAATCTATCGCACTTTTGAGTTGTGGCGACCGGTCCCAAGCTCGAAGGAAGGCGCTAGGCGCGGAGGTAATAACCAAAAATCGACGACACAGATGCAAAAGGCCGAATTGGCCCTGGCCGGACAAGATGCGTGGGCATTCGCATTGGATGTCATTTGTGTTGTTGTCTGCTTATTCATCAGATTATTTTAGTCGCGTACATCAACTGCCAGAAACAGATCTCCATCACCACCTTGGCGATCTTCAACATCCGCGCCGAGAGATACCACGCCAAGCACGCTGTCACCCATTGACACTGAGGGAAACTCGTGTCGGGATCCGGCTCATCTGCATCAACTGCCCATCTCCAAGAGTCAAGCACCTGTTCATGCTAACGCCAAGCTTCCAATACCACGCTTCACGCGGAGCACAAACCAGCTCAGAGGAAACTGTCTCATCAACCATGGGTGCCGCGGGTTATTTATGATTCAACACTTTCTTCTCCTCACCGCAGACGCTGCACAGAAAAGGGAAATGAAAACAAGTACGATCCAAGCGGCACCTATACGTCGCTCACGTCTCAATAGCACACACCCCTTTCGGCCGACCAACCGAGCCAAGTCCAGCACTCTCTCGCCTTCTGCGGCCTCAACCTCCGTCCTCACCACCCAAAACCTCCCAAGCCAAAAAGCGAGAAACCCCGTGAAGCACGTCGCAGCCGCTCAAAGATCCCCCCCCAACTCTGCAACACCACCCATCCCTGACTTCGCGTGTCTGATTGGCTCCTCCATCCCCTGAAACCGTCCGGTGTGGAGCTGCGCAGGGGGCCGGGGCTCGTCGGATCTGAAGCGAAAGAAGAGTCGAACACCCCACCACGTCGCATCTCTCTTCAGACGACGCCGTCCCAGACCTGACAGGTGCAAGGAACCTGATGGTCAGGAATCAGCCTGGAGAAGGGGGCAGAGGCTCTAGGAAGACAGAGAAAACGGGTTAGGGTGGATGTTGCGGCTCAGCCACCCAGGGACAGCCTTACCGAAAGTAGCACGCGCCGACAAGCTCTCGAGACTGTTCCTGTTGCAAGCGCGAGCTCTGCCTTTTTCTGTCGTGAGCCTCTCTGAGTATCGTATCTCGCCCATGCTTCACCTACCATGCTTCGCGCGGACTCCTTCACACCATGGCCAAATTAGACTCTGCCGCGGCACCCATCATCCGTTAAGATTTGCAGCTCAATGCTGACAAGGCGCAGCATCCCAGTCTCTCCTCCCTCTCTCTGCTCATCCCAGAACAGAGACAGAGAGTCAGGAGACGTCGGTAAACGAAAAGCCCACACGATGGGATGCCACCCACCTCCACCACCTGGTGCAGGTTTTGGCGATGTTTAGACTCGAACCGGGGGTCCCGCGATCCGCGCCCTATGCTTATTTGCCAAGAGCCCTCCCTGCTCGTGCTCCATCCTCCCATCCCCTAGCAACTGATGTGATGCTTAAAAGGCGATCATGTCCCTCCTCCCTCGCCGTGTATCTTGAGATGTTTTGAAGAGTATTCCATTCGTTCTTTTTTCTATCCTTCCGGCAAGGTTTCAATTCTGGTTCTGAATTCCACTTTCCGCAAAAACTACATTCCCTTCTTTTCTTCAAACACTCAAGTTGTTTTAATCAAGTAAAGATGCAGCTCTCTCTTATCGTCCTCGCCGCCGGCGCCGGTGCTGCCATGGCAGGTAAGCCACTCTTCCCACATCCATCATTTGCTTGCACGATATTGACAAACACCTGCCAGCCCCCCAGCTAGCCCCCCGCCAAAACGCCTGCTTCATCGTCGGCAACACCGTCCTGCCCCAAGAAGTCTCCGACGCCGTCACCTCCCTCCAGAACAAAGTGACCTGCGACACCTCCAAGAAGACGCTCTCCGGCGTCCCCGACGTCTCCGCCGGCAGCGTCAAGTTCTCCTCCATCAACTTCGCCGACGCCAAGGGCCAGACGCCGCTCGCCTTCGCCCTCGACAAGTTCGCCACCACGGAGCCGCTCGCGTCCAACGACCTGGCCACCTTCCAGAACCAGCTCGACGCCTACGTGGCCACCGAGGCCGGCATCCGCAGCGTTGGCGGCAACCTGGCGATCAAGGTGCCCAAGTTCTTTCTGAGCATGCAGGTGCAGCGTATTGCGACCGCGCAGGGAAACCCGCCCACGGCCGCGGGCCAGCAGGTTGACCACCTGCGGGACAAGGTGCTGAAGAACGCGCCCAAGGAGGATAAGGCGCTGCTGGACCAGGTTACTGCGCTGGCGGCCAAGACTACCTAAGACGTAATATTTGGGGGATGTAGTGCGAGTCAAGTAGTGGAAGTAATGTGGAATCTGAATCATTATTTGACCATTTCATCTCGGCGTTGAAGATACAAAGGACGTGAAACGTGACCGCCGGTGATGGAATACTGTACAGGAAACCCATATGGGTGGATTAACAGACACGAGGAAGAGGGGAGAAGGAAGAGCAAATCCTTATTCTGGATCCCAAGCACCGAGACCGCCAGGCATATCACACTTTCGTGAAAACATAACGCCGCCATCAACCAGCCCCGCAAAGCAATGCTGGGCGTCTAAAAAAAACAAGTTGTTACAAGTCGCACAGGGTTTTTTCGTCGTTGGTGGTTGATCAGTCCCCGCGTGCGTTTACTTCTTCTGCTGCAGCTGCTCGAGCTGCTCGCGCTCGCGGACCTCGGCGCCCGAGGCCTTCCACCAGACGTCGCTGCCCCACCTGATGAGACGCTCCGCGGCGCCGAGGGGCGTCATGGCCGGGCGGACGTCGAGGTAGAACACCGGCTCGTCGCTGTCGGGGTCGGCCTCGCCGGAATAGTAGTCGATGATGTAGCGGATCTCCTTGGTGGTGCCGCCGATCCTGCGGGAGACGAACCAGTCGTGGCGGTCAAAGGGGGGCTCGGTCCTGTTTTGAACGTTAGCACCGATGTTCTCTCCCTCGATATGGGCGCAGCTTACTCAAACTTTGAGGGGTACAGGGTTCCGAGGACCTGCCACATGATAGCCTTGGGTGTCATGTCCTTGGGCCTGCCCTGGAAGCGGACGAGGGAGGGGATGTCCTCAGTGCCGGTCCTCATCTTCTCGAGCTCCGCCTCCGAGTTCTCCTCGCCGCGCTTGCAGACCTGCCAGCCCCTGTACAGGCCCTGGCTGAAGCGGTCCTCCCAGCCGACGATCTCGGCCCAGGCGCCCTCGTTGAGGAAGTTGTGGACAGACACCATGGACTCGACGGCGGTGATGTCAGTGTCGGTGTAGCCCTTGCGCAGGAGCGCATTGTACATCTGCTGGGGCGAGGGGTACTCCCAGTTGCCGTCGCCAGAGCCCTTGGGTATCGTCGAGGGCTCGCGCTCGGTGGGCAGGGCCATGGCCTGGTTCTGGGCGGGCGCCTGGGAGATGTCCTTGAACATGTAGTTGAGGGGGTTCAGCTGGGAGAGGATGGACTTGGACTCGGGCTTCGGTTGGTCATGGGGGACGGGACATGAGGACGGGGGAGGGCCGGCGTGGCGCTGGTCGTGGGGTACGGGGCATGCTGATGGCGGAGGAGGTGGTGGTGTCGCGAAGTGGCGTTGGTCGTGAGGGATGGGGCAGGCGGAGGGCTTCGGTGTCGTGTTCAGGGCCTCCGCAGTCTTCTTGTGCATCGGGCAGCTGGGCTGGCTTGGTGTAAGCATCTAGACATGGAGGGGCATGGGCGAGGGAAACATACTGGAGGCGAGCCAGATGGAAGGGCGCCGTGAGGGTGCGCAGGAGCGTCGGCCCAAAACCAGCCCATGGTGTGCGATAGACAGATTAGGTAGAGAAGGTATTCGGTATTATCGTGGAGGACCACAGGGTGTCGCGGTGGGGGTGGACGGTGTTCGTTGAGGATGATCGGAGGGAAAATAAAAAAAAATGCGTCGCAAAGACGTCGATAAGGAATAATCGCGGATAAAGAAGTGGAATGGAAGCTTCTGCCGCTGGTGGATTCGGGTTCTGCAGTTGCCAGTGGGTGGTAATCGTAATCGACGTGCACCGCAGTGGTTCGCCAAAATTTCCAGCGGTCCCAGTCGCCCGTTTCGCGCCATCGGATGGACCCGCGACGCTGCTCCTTCCGCGCGGGCGGAATCGAAAAAAAAAAAAAAAAGATGGAGTGTCATCGATTGGCAGCCACATGTTTCCCCGACATTTCCCCGACCTTCGCAGGCGCAGGGCGCAGAATTCCCACCTGCGAAATCCCTACGTCACCACCATCCCAAAGCGTCCATTCCCGGTCCCCTGCTCCCCGCGATCCCGCGCGACGAGCTCCCATCTCTCCGTCATCGTGAGACCGCCCCCGAATAGCTCCGGTTCGCAACCACCGCTCTAATCGCTGAGAATGACACCAAACTCCCGGTCTTCCAACCCTATCCCTCCCTCGAGATGAGACTGGCCTTCGTCCTGGGCCGGTTCTGTCCACGTCCGGGCTTCCGAACACCCAGCAGCAACAGCAGCAGCGCGCGGCTTTACTCCACCTTCCGAGGGTCCTTTCGCAGCCCCGAGGCGCGACGCATACCATGGCGGAATAAGCAGTACACGCGGTATACGTTGCGCGCAGGCGGTGCGGGCGTGAGTGCTCTGGGCACGGCAGCCTTTTTCGAGCTGTCGCAGAAGGATAACGAGGGCACCGATCAGACGGGGGAGAAGCGCATGCTGGCGGCCAGCCGCTCCGAGATCAAGAAGACGGTCGCCGATGACGACCACGGGGTATCGAGGGTCTGGCACACGCTGAAACTTGTGGTGGATGTCTACATCTGGGAGCCCATATGTACCGGCGTACGGTTCCTCCATCTCGCCGCCATCTTTGTCCCTGTGCTCCTTGCTGTGCCAGCGATATGGATCGGGAGGCGGCAGCCTGACCGGGACAATGAGCGGAGTGGAACACTGTGGTGGTACGGCTTCTTGGTGCAATCCATGGAATGGGCTGGCCCGGCCTTCATCAAGGTGAGCTTTTCGTCTTCTGATCTCATACGCAACTCCTGACGTAGCGCAGCTCGGTCAATGGGCGGCATCACGATCCGACATCTTCCCGAACGAAATGTGCGAAATCATGTCCAAACTCCACTCCAACGCCCCGGCGCACTCCATCCGTCAGACTAAGCTCATCGTCTCCGCCGCCTTCGACGGCCGTGACTTTGCGGACATTTTTGAGGAATTCGACGAGGAGCCCCTCGGCGTCGGCGCCATCGCGCAGGTATACAAAGCCAAGCTCAAGGCCGACCTCGCCGCCCCCAACGCCGATCTCCCCAACGAGCCAAAACCCCTCCGTCAAAAGGTCGCCAAGAACGTCGACGCCGCCCTCAAGAGCACGCCCAAACGCGTTCCCTCGACCTACGTCGCCGTCAAGGTCCTCCACCCGCGCGTCGAGCGCATCGTCCGCCGCGACCTGCGCATCATGCACTTCTTCGCCTCCGCCCTCAACGCCATTCCCACCATCGAGTGGCTCTCCCTGCCCGACGAGGTCGCCCAGTTCGGCGAGATGATGAAGCTCCAGCTCGACCTGCGCATCGAGGCCGCCAACCTTGCAAAGTTCCGCAAGAACTTCACCGACCGCAGCACCGCCTGGTTCCCCTACCCCTACACCGAGTTCACCACCCGCAACGTCCTCGTCGAGGAGTTCGCCCAGGGCATCCCCCTCGCCGACTTCATGGAGAACGGCGGCGGCGTCTTCCAGCACGACATCGCCTCCGAGGGCCTCGACGCCTTCCTCCGCATGCTCCTCATCGACAATTTCGTCCACGCGGACCTGCACCCGGGCAACATCATGGTGCGCTTCTACCAATCCGACGAGCCCGACCTCAAATTCCGCCGGTCAACAACGCATCACCACCCGCAGGAACAGAACGACGTGACCGAGCAGGTCCTCGCGCGCCTGCGTCCCTACCGCCACCGCGCAGACCCCGCCGCCTGGGACGCCGAGCTCGCCAAGATCGACCGCGAGGGCTTCCGCCCGCAGCTCATCTTCATCGACACGGGCCTCGTCACCGAGCTAAACGAGACGAACCGCCGCAACTTCCTCGACCTCTTCCGCGCCGTCGCCGAGTTCGACGGCTACAAGGCAGGCAACCTCATGTGCGAGCGCTGCCGCCAGCCCGACGCCGTGCTCGACAAGGAGATCTTCGCGCTCAAGATGCAGCACCTCGTCCTCGGCGTCAAGAGCCGCACACTCGCGCTCGGCAACATCAAGATCGGCGATATCCTGCAGGAGGTCCTCGGCATGGTCCGCGGGCACCACGTGCGGCTGGAGGGCGACTTCGTCAACGTCGTTATTAGCATTCTCCTTCTCGAGGGTATCGGGCGCAGCTTGAACCCCGATATGGACCTTCTCAGCAGCTCGCTGCCCATCCTCCGGCAGCTGAGCGCGCAGAGCGGCACGGAGATGGCGAAGCATGGCGACTTTAGCATGCTGGTGGTGTGGATGGGCCTGGAGACGCGACGGTTCTTGCAGGCTAGCATCGAAGATGTGAGCAACACCCCCTACACGACTGATGAGGTAACCAGACTGACAAAGCACAGGTCGAGCGATGCGTCAAGTACGATCTCCTTTCACCAAATGTGTAATGTAAAGTGTACAGTACGGATAGACGGAATGCATAACGCGGCGCAAGGGACGTGGCGGGATAGATATACAGCTCATACAGCAGAGGTCTCGAATAAACGCCGATTTAATCTTGTTAGAAACACGTTCCTATGTCATGTTTAGGGACGACTGGAGCTATTCAATGGTCATGGTGTTCGGGCGTTTAAGGTAGACTAATCATGACAGACTCAATTGAATGTGACCTTTTTTCCGAAGCCTCTTCGAGGCAGTTGGGTAATGCTGATATTGCAGCATGTACAAATGAATACCAACGTCGCCAATCCAAAAGCCCAACGTCGCCCTGTTCCCCTCAATCCACACACAAATCCAAATCAACAACGCCTTTGGCCCAATCTTGAAGTCCAACCTCGCAGTCCAACCTTGTAGTCCAACCTTATAGTCCAACCTTGCAGTCCAACCTTGTAGTCCAACCAGTCATCCCACCATATCTCTCTGATACCTTCGAGGCAGGCGCGGAAGAACAACGGAGCATCGGAGCCTAAAAAAAGTTTTTCCTTTTGTTAGCCCCACGCGAAAGGTCACGGGTCGGCTAAGCAGGTGCGGTGGCAAGGAAAACCCCGAAGGGAAAAAAAAGGTACCCGACTCCTTCTCCTCCACATCAACTTCTCAGAAGGATGACGCTTGTCAACACCGCGCAACACGCGAAAAGCTCTGAGCACGTGCGCTCTGTAGATTAGCGGTATCTTCACGGAAGATCCGCAGATTCATCAAAGGAGTCCATACCTTTGAATAGGAAAGCTCATCAGTGATGAGACATAACTGCTGACGTTGGGTTTCGGCCTCTGCTGGAACCTGGCCATGAATCTGCAGTGCAAGATGTCGTCTGAGATGATGCATTGGCGTATGGAGGGATTTGAGGAGCGATGTGGACTCGGAGTGGGAGGACTTGGGTGTATTGCGAGGAAGACGTCGTGTACGAGGGCGAAGGAGATGAGGACGGTGTTGACGGCCACTCGCTCGTGGACATGACGAGGAACTTGAAAGCGAGGGGCCGTCATCATCGTAGTCGTTTTGACGACCACTCGCCTGTGGGCTTGACGAAGAACTTGAAAGCGAGTGGCCGTCATCATCGTAGTCGTCCAAGGACAATGGAGAATGGAGAATGAAGAATGGAGGATGGAGTTGGAGATGGAGATGGAGATGGAGGATGGGGAATGGAGGAGGGATGTCGAAGGGGTTTATATAGTTCTACGAAGCCTGCGGTGACAGGTGCTTTCCGTTCGTCGATTCCGTGATATTGGACCTCTACTTCCTTCGAGATCATGGAAACACAGGCATGTGCAGTTCGAAATGGAAGGAAGGGGGTATGGCGTGGAAGATATATGGGATTAGTCGGTGATACTGATGGAAAGAAGGGGGTATGGCGTGGAAGTTATGTGGTACAGTCGGCAGTACTAACGGAAAGAAGGGGGCATGGCTTGGAAGGTAAGTGGCAACGGTTGGTGATGCTCCTTCTGGAGTATGCCTCTCCTACACCTTCCACGCTTGGATGATGTCCGCTGATCTGAGTGAGTCTATCGTGACCGGGCGACGCCAGTATGCGATTGGATGGAAGTCGCAGCTTCGACTGCACTTGGAACAGTCCACGTCCTCCACAGCGACAGCAACCCACTGCTCCCTGCCGGTCCTTGCCTTTAGCCGCTGCATGACTTCCCGAAGGATCTCGTTCCATTGACCGACGCCACGAGACTCTGTGACTACCTCCACACAGACATCCGTGAATTTCTTGATATTACAGGCAAGCAGAAGCTGCTTGTTACAGATCCCCACGCTGCACAGAAGCTTCCCTCGCAGCTCTTGCCTGGCCGGGAGCAAACCGCCTATTCTAGACCGATTTTCTGGCATCACTTTCCGAACACAAGACCGGCCAAAATCAAGTGAGCAGCAGGGCGAGAGGCAATCGTACTTCAACGAGAGTGTGTCTTGCCACTCCTGGCTCCAAGCCGGCGACACGCGTTGCGAAGTTTGCTTCGACCGCCACTGTGGGCTCTGGACCTTCGAGTCGCACTTGCTGCCGCTTGGGACGAATCACCGTAGGCTTCTTGCTACCCGCGGACAAGACCCCCAGGCCTCTGGAGATCAAGATCGCTTCTTTGACGTGCAGATCGAGTTGATATCTTCTAGTGCCGCCGCCGCCTTCAAGGAAGCTTCCCCTTACCTCAGCCCTGAAAAGTATTCTGCTGATCTACCAGGCTGCTGTCGACGACCTTGCCTTCTGCAATACCAACCACACATCTATCTGGAGCTTTATCTGAAGGCAGCAGGGTTTCTAAGGGCAGGCAGTAGGGCAGGCAGGAGGGTAGGTATCAGCCATCCTGGCCCTCATATATTTCGTAATCAGAGTCATGTGACAGTCAAAAGGGTGTGGCAGCAGGCGGTCACCTGCCAAAAGTTACAAATGGTTGGAAAGCAGTTGTAACGGAAGGAAGGTGAGCGTGAGGGTAGGCGTGAGGATTAGAGGGCAAGAAAATAGTAAGATACCAGTAGGGCAGGCAGGAGAGTCGGCAAGAAGTAAGAGGGCGGGAGTGAAGGTAGATTAAAGCGCATGAAGGCGGGAAGTAGAATATTAGGAGGGCGGGCAGGAACATAGGTAGGAAGGTTGCAGTCATTGCGCTGAGGAAAGAATCATCGTCAAATGTCTGGTTGTTGGGCCCGGAATAGCGGCCTTGCCAAGTTTGATAATGACTCGAATGTTGACTGTGTTATTCACGTCTCTTTGGAGCAACTAGCTAATTATACTGACACAGTAGCAACGAGCAAGTAAACTATGCAGCCCTCGGAATCTTGACACCTTCTACTCAGCCAGAATGACTGATTTTCAACTCATCCCGAAGTCTCTTCACTGTCGCCTCATAAACCTTCGTGTTCTTCAGCACGATCTCTTCCAGGTTGGTCGCGACCGAAGTACCGACCAGCTGGTGCAACGCCGCCCCGCACACGTTGTTCGGTTCAAAGTTGGCACCGCAGAAGGCGAGGTGGCGGATGTTCTTGCACTTGGAGATCACTGCCGCGACACTGCGGTCAGAGAGGTGGGTTCCGCCGTTGATGCTGAGGTCTTCGAGGATCGGGCAGGCGGTCACGAGTCGCACGAGGCCGGTGTCGGTCAGGGGCAGGCGGATCTTGGGGGAGCCGGCGGTTATTCGGACGACGCGCTGGAAGAAGGACGGGCGGCGAAGGAGGATCTCGTGGATGTGTAGACTAGTATGTCATTAGTTGAATACGTTATGGAAATGTAGAGACAGGGAGGACGTGGGGAGAGGTAGGAGCGGGGGACGAGGACAGAGGTAGTGATGGAGGACAACGCCAAAGAAAGGATGGAGGACGAGGGCAAAAGATAGGGATGGGGGATGAGGGCAAAGGTAGGGAGAGACACGTACTCCGAAAGCTGGAAGTCGGGCCCAAAGTCGAAGTAGCTGACCGGTGTATCGTCGCCGTCAATTATCTTCTGCGCAAACTCTTGTTCTGCATCCATGGTGACGACGCGTATGACAGGCTGGTTGGCCTTCGGGTTCGGAGTCACGAAGACGCGCGGCGCGAGGGGCTCTTCGGCTAGCTCTAGGACCTCAAGGCTAGATGTGGGGGATTCCTCGGCCGCCACTCCTAACTCTGGGCCGTCGGCCTCGGTGGCCTCTCGACTCTCAAGTTGCTGCGCAGGTGGTTCTACGGTCGCTGCCACTGGCTCTGGCTCGTTGAAGCGCACTCGTTTTCGGTTCGGGGGCATGATGGCGGATTCTTCGTCTGAGATGAACTCCTCGAGGCCGTGGTAGAAGGGGTCGGACAAGGCCTCAGAACCTTCAGGGGATCGAGCTCGCTTCTTCGACGTGAGGACGGAGTGGACGCCCTCTTGCGCTGCTGGTGTCTTTGGCGCCTTTTGCTGCCTTGCGGCATCTACCTCCCTGTTGTTGTCTGCCTGTCTTCCGAAATAGTGGTTATCGGAAAATTCCTGCTGCTGCTTCATCTCCCAGCGCTCTTGTTTGCTCATCCTAGACCACCGTTCGTTGTGCGCTTCGCGCCAAGCTTCTCTTTCATCGACACTCAGCCATCTGGGTGCGCGTATGCCACCCTTCCCAAGCACGGTGCAACGGGACGGGATCCGTTTGTCCGCAGATGCGCCTGAGTTGGATGGGCGGCCTTCGATCTTAGCCAAGACTTGCTGTTGCATGCCAACGTGTTCCCTGGGCGTCATGCGCATCCAGCGTATGTTGTGTTCTAAACGCCATGCCTGGAGCTCCGGACCATCAGCGAGCGTAGCCGGAGGTGGAATGCCTCCAAGGCCGCGGAAGGAAAAACGTAAGTCCCATGCTTGACCATCAGTTGAAGACGCGTCCCTCTTGGCCTTCAGAGCAAGCCCGATCTTCTGCAGAAGATCCAGGCTCTTCAGCCTGTCGCTCTTGATGGCCGAACCCGCCTTCTTTGTCCTCTTCGCCTTCTTCGCCCTCCGCCTCTGCTTCGCCGCGCCATTGGTGTTGTTGTTGGCGCCGTTGTCGGCGCCGCCGGCCGTCATCGAATATGTATTCATCGTATGCGTATTGCCTGTAGTCTTGCTTCTCGTCAGAGTAGGTCGTGGTCGGGGTTGGGTTCGTGGTGAAGATTGATGGTGTTGACGGGGTGGGAGTGGGGAAGTTGTTGTCTAGAAGTTAGGAGCAGAGAGGAAAGAAGCTGAGGTATTGAAATTTCGAGCCGTTCCTTTCTTTCGGATTCAGAGCAGATGGTGTCCTAGGATCGTTCCTTCCGTGGGTGTCCAAATTCGCGCCGCACAAGGAAGCCGGTCGCGTACCTATTAAAAATACCGTCTAAATGTAAAAATATGTATGATGCCATAGATCTAGATTGATTGTAGTTTCATCTAGACCTGCGACTTTTGTTCATTTTATTTGGCCTGACCCAGTTCGTGCTGTGCTCTTCTGGTGGTATCAACACATGTTCACATGTACCTCTCCATTGCAAGCACCATAGGAAGTGAAACGTTCCAATCGAACCTGAGGTGATTTGCTTTTTGCAAATCATCTCGTTTGGAGCCAAAGAGTCAAGAACTCAGCTATAAATTGAGAGACCATCCAATCTGCTTGTGTCTCCGCGGCGTCCTTGTCCAAGATAGTGATAACAAAGACGATAACAGCAATGACAACAACGACGATGGATAGTAATGATGCCAACGACGACACCAATGAAGATGTTAACGACGAAAACAACAGTAGAGCAGAACAGGGTGTACAGCCACAGTAAAAGCAGTCGCTGTAGCACGGGAAAAAGAGGGCGTATTCAAATAGAAGGTCTGAAACGAGTCATCAGACACGCGTCAACGGATATACGAAGCTGTTTCCGACAATGATGCTGTGAACCACTATGAACTCCTGACTGCTTTACGAAGAGGGAGAAAACACTTGAAATGATTATGGATCTAGGAAAAAAGAAGTCCTTCCCTCTTCACCAATACATGAAATTCAAAAGTCTGTATGGTATTAAGAGCAATCTATTAGACAGTAGACTCGCAGCCTCGCCACCATATTCTTTGGACTCGCAATCCCGGCCTAGAGCCCTTGGACGACGATCGAACCACTTCACAGCGCCAAGTGACAGCGCGAAATCCTGCATTCCCCCGTTACAGAAGATCTTGAATAGACGCGATACTTTCATGTCATCTTACATATACCATGCTCAACTTCCAAATGCCATCTAGTCTTCCTTTTCTACAGCATCCCGTCAAAGCGTGCACATTACATTGTTCGTGAGCTGGATGTCAGTGTGCTGTTATGCCTGTCAGACTCTTTGACATCAATGACACTCGCTTTGACACCGCCCCATTGCGTCGGGGCCACATCCGCGCATGAAAACCACCGGTTGACACTTGGTTGGTTACACAGCCTCAAAACCAAGTTGCTGCTGGAGAAATCACTTGTCAAAAACCCGGGCAGATGGAACGGCTGCAAAGACGGCACATCTGATGAGGTGGACGAAGTGGGATCATTTTACATTGCATTAGCTTCAAAGTTTCTGAGTTTCTGTCAGATTTCTAGAACGGGTTAGGCGGGATCTCAAAGGCCTGTCTGACAGGAGGATAGTTCAATGGCCTGAGAGCTATCCAATAGACAAACCATCTTTAATTCCCCGGCTGGCGCTTAGTCCAGCGGGGGATTTATGCTCGCAACGGCCAAGTGCGGCGGGGCTTGACGTCGGAATGGTTCCGACTTGAGAGTTCCGTAAGCCGTTGGAGGTTGAGCTTACGGCGAGGTAAAAAGGCTTTGGCATTAGTAGAGAACCACACCACATCAGTTACTACCGCATTCCGGACACACGTGTGTAAGTGCGGAGAGACATAGAACCCCTCTTCTAGCCACCAACTCTGTTTAGTGAGCAGAGCATTGTAGTGCTAGATTTTGACGGGTGTCATGACGAAAAAGCTTTCTGCCCCAGTCAAGCTCAGCCTGTGGGAAAACCGTTGCCAAGCAGCACGTCCCACACGGGGTCAAAGACATCGCCAAGACATCATCCGGCACTCAAAAGGTGATAGGTCGAATGAAGTCTCATAAGCCGCAACGCCAAGCCGACAACGACGGCAAGAATACCCTGACAGTGACCAGTATAGAAACCTTTGCTCCATAAACATGCGACGTATCCCCGGGATGAGGAGGGTTGACCCCTGACAGCCCGACCCAAACAGGGCCGCACACCTGCAAAGGCAAAGATAACCGATGCTAAAATCTGCCCTACATCGGCCGTTGGGCTGACGTTGGTCAGGGACATGCCTGCTGTTTCGTAACGGCCCGGTCCCTAGAAACCAGGGCGATCTCGTTGGCTGGAGTCTCAGCATCGTTGCAGCTGGGCTTTACGCTTTTTGCCTCTAAAGCAACTCTGGTTGGTAAGCTTTGCGCTTGGTTCATGGCTCGCGCCGGGGGTGCGCCCGGCGAGAAAGTCTGTGAGAGGCTTTCGAAAAGGCTGACTCGAACGGCTTGTTGCGAGGTTGTCGGGCTCACGATAGTTGGCAGAGGCTTCAGTGACGGTAAGAATGGGACATCATTAGAGTATCGTGAGTTGCCGTTGGACGGAGCGTGATGAGTGGGAGCTTCGGCTGACTGCGGGGACTCTGCGACTTACTTCGACATGGCCATGACAAGTCGCGCGAAGGAACCAGACGTCAACCTTGAGGGATATAATGAAAACAGTACTGAAGATGCCATGAGTTCTTTAATGAAGCGCTGTCTTTCAATTATAGCCTGTGGGTTTCTACGCAACATCTGGCTGTAGGAGGAATTTCCATAGTGTAGACGCAGGTATCTTGTTCACATCACGATTTCACACCGAACTGCGAAGACATGGTTGGTAGAAAATATAATTACCGTCTGTTTTCGGTGGCCGTAGTACTCATAAATGCTGTCTGCATGATGCTGTCTCGTTCACGAGGGACTCGAGGGCGAATGCGAATTAGTTCCATTCGATTACATGGCCTCCACAAATTTTCCATCCCCGTCTCCCCTCGATTCACGATATCGATCTCCTTCTCCAGCGTCTTCCTCCTTTCCTCCTCTTCCAATCCGCCCCTTCAGGCCCTTCCATCACCTGCATCTCTTTTCTCATTCACTTCACCACATCACTTCCGCCTCCCTCACAAATACCCACTTCTTGACGTCTGCCAATCTGTAATCCCGCCGCGAAACCCAGCGCGGCCGTCGTACCTGACCATCAACTACGCAGAGAATGCAGCGATAGCGCCGTCAATGGCTTCAGTGAGTTGACCGGTGCTCTGCTGCGCAATCGGGCGCGCAATCGCAGGCACCTTGGCCAGGAGAGTGTCGCCAAGCTGTCCGCTGCTAGCCTTCTGCTGCGCAAGAGCATCCCTGACGACTGGTGTGACTCCAAGCTGGTCGAAAACGGGCTTCTTCTGAGCGAGATCGCCAAGGGTGGTCTGGACCTGGTCCACGAGGCCAGTGGCAGTCTGCTGAAGGCCAAGAGCACCAAAGAGACCCAGGTTGTTTGCGCCGTCAATCGTAGATGTGGCGGAACCGAGTGCGGTCTGCGCACCTTGAGCAGCGTTCAGAACCGCAACAGCGGAGTTGGGGTCGCTGGCGGAGAGGCTCTTGACGGCCGTATCGAGCTTGGAGAGAGAGTCTGAAACCATGCCGAGAGCCCCGGTGATGACATCGCGTTGGCGAGGGAAAATTGGCGAAGCGGTGATGGCCCACGCCTGGAGGGCGACGATGAGGATCTGGAAAACGTACATATTCGGTTGAGGTTGAGAGTTGTTGATTAAGTTACTACGATCGAAGAGATAACAGATTCGAAGGGCCGCTAGCGGTAGAGTGGATTTGAATAGTGTGGAGAACGACGACGACTACAAAACTCGAACAGGAAATGGAGTGTGGCTGTTGCACGATTTTATGAGTATCTGGGTTCAACTAGGCAAGGCTATTCAGCGCCTGCTTTCTCCCTCTACTTTCCTTTTTGGGACAGTCTGGGGCGTTGAAGCTTGAGTGTAGGATGTGTGTGGCCGGTAGCTACTTTTCTCCTTAGAGTTTCCTTTTTTGGGTAGTGAGACGCAATGGAGGTTCTTGGTGCTGTCCCTGGCCGCATGGTGGTCCTGATTGGGACAGCTCGAGGAGACAGCTTGGCACGGGAGCGCCCAAGCAGGCTGCCAGTCCACATTCCGGCTCCGGACGTCTAACGGTCTGCTCCCAATGAGGCAGATGGCAGCAGGCAATAACTCGGATGAGTTATGGAATGCTGCCGTTGTGCGGGATGACATGTGTAGCTTGAGGGGTCACCCTTGACGTTCATCAGGAACTGTATAAGCCACTGGGTCCTCTTTGTGCCTGCATCTCTACGACGGGGACTAGTGCAATAAGCTCACGAACGAGATGCCTAGTACGTTGCGGGGGAGCCAATAAACTTCCTTCCTTCGGGGAATTCTTCCGCTGCACTGAGGCTCTGCAAGGGGCACAGGCTGATGATCAGCTAGAAATTGCTGCCCGCGACTGGTCGTAGTATCAAAGCTGAAACCAATTGTTGCGCGGACCGGCCGTTGTTCAGTCGAAACACAAACAGAGTTGTGCTCATGATGAGCCAATCGCAAGTGAGCATGTCGCGCCTCGCCCGCTTATCCTCAATAAAATGGCACAGAAAAATGCCAGCGACCTGCCAGAAGTGCCAACGGGACCAGACGGTGTCACCGCCTCGGCAAGACTATGACGCTCGTGATTTCGGCATGGCTGTCAAGTTTGTGATGATGGCCAAGCTGCCGGGTTCCGGTTTGCAACCTTCAGCCCTTTCCCTTCCCCTTCGCACTCGCTTGTGTTTCTTTTGACAGGTTGGCAGCACACCGATTATGTCGCAATGTCGGGTGGGCTGACCTGATATACGTCGAACACATGGCTGGCCTGATTCCTTTCTCCCAGCGGCTCCCACGGACATCCCATGTATTACCAGAAATGGAAGACGATGTATGCTTGAATCAGCCAGTCTCTCATCTTAACTCATGCAGGATCAGTGCCGGCAAACTTCATTAAGCGCCTTATAAGGACTTAT